AGAAAATCTTTCGACAAATTCAGCATTTTCTCATGGCAAAAATACTCAATATACTTGGAATAGAATGGGATTTTTTAAAGACTAGAACAACAGCATGTATGAAAAATGCACAACTAATGTATTATTTAATGTTGAAAGAAGGGGTCCTTTCCCTCTAAGAATAAGACATGGATATCGACTCTTATTATTTCTGTTCAATACATTCTAACCAAGAAATGGGTAAAGATATTTAAAAAGTATAAAGATTGGAAGAAAAAAAACCTGTATCTATTCACAGATTTGGTTTGTGTATAGAACATGTTTGACAATTCACTAGAAAACTATGAGAACTAATAAATGTATTCAATAAACTTGGACACAAAATCAGTACTCAACAATCAATTTTATTTGTACATGTTTATAATAAATAGGATGACATGTATTGAAATAATATGAAATTAAAAATAATTTCATTCATAATATCATCAAATGAATAAATTGTACAGGAATAACCTTAATAAAGGAAGTACAAACCTATTTTCATAAAGGTGCAAAATGTTTGCAAGGAATAAATGAAAATTAAATAATGGAAAAATATTCACCTTCCTGAATTGGAGGACTCCATATTGGTAAGAGGTCAATATACTGCAATTATATTTCAATAAATGTGATATTAAAAAAGAAATAAATTTTCTTCCTGCACATGATTTTAATGACCCAACATAGCTACTTTCAGTTGGAGAGAAAGATATAAACACTAGGGAGCAAAGTACGATAACAAAAAACAATGAACTAGACAATCGAATGCAAGATGCACACGTCTTAAATCTGTGAAAGAAATTTAGAGGAAGGTTAATAACTCATGGAACAGAGTGGAAATATACAAACTAGAAGTAAAGATTTTGAGGGACATTCATTGTCAATAAAACAATAACTACAGTTATTGACCAGATTCTCATGTTATATCAGTTATAACCTTGGTTATAACTGATTCTCATGTTATATCAGTTATAACCTTGGTTATAACTGATTCTCATGTTATATCAGTTATAACATGGTTATATCAGTTATAACCTTGATTATAAAGCAACTTTTTGGTCCCAGACTTACTTTAGCAGGCAGTGGACAGTAAGGGTTCTGACCTCTGAAAATGAGCACATTTTTCAGTGCTCACTTCAAATATTGCCATCTAGGAAAATGAACAAACAAAAATGTTCCAGAGAGTGAAGTTAGGTCCATATAGTCCAAAACACACAGAAGCTTCTTGGAGAGTTCAACTGGGAACTTGGATCTTGCCAAGTTCTCATGACTTGAGACTTCACGGACTGCCCCTGCAGGGTTTCATCATTGGAACAGGTCTGGGATTACTGTTTGTCTACCATTTTACCCTTTTCATAGTCAGAGTCTATTAAAATGACCTTGTTTCTGTACTACCATTGACGAAGAGGTATACTTTGAGCTGGCTTTCTAAGTTCGCAAGCCACCTCCAGTTGAACAGAGTAGAAACAATGACTAAGTGAATCACACATTTGAGCTAGATGCTATAAGTGGATTGTCTCTTTTCAGGATATTCCTGAATGCATTCTACGGGTGAGGAGAAGGGTGAATGTGACCTAGCGACCAGAGGAGCAAAGAATTCACAGTTTCCTCTGCTTCATGGTCACACAGCTATATTTCTTAGTTTATCTTACATTTAATGTAATTTAACTATTTGACAAGTTCTTTTTTTTTGGTTTTTTTCTCCGGTACCGGGAACCGAACTCACGACCTTGCGCTTTCGAGGCAGGCGCTTTTGCCGCTGAGCTAAATCCCCAACCCTATTTGACAAGTTCTAACCAGTAGAATTTGAGTAGGAGAGGTGGGTACCACATCCATGCCCATTAAAAATCATGGCATATCCATACCCTCCTTCATTCTTTTGTCCCTTATCTGCTGGGTAAGAGGGAGAGAATCTCCAATGGGACCTTGGAAACATTATGTTGGATACTACACAACCTCCACCAGCCTGGGTCTAAGAAAACATGGCGGAGAGCCCCGGTAACAGGTTTACCCTTTCAGCTTATTATTTAAATAACAAAATTCTTGAATTTTCACTATTACACATTTTCAGTCTGCCTGTATTTAAGGATAAATTAGCCTCCCCTATGAAATACAAGTGCCCCCACTGAATTTCTTCCCTGTAGTTGCTGAGTTTAATAAATTGTTATCACTGGGAAGTCTAATTTTTAGTGATTCATGCACATCCTGGTAATGATTTCAGTGACTTCTCAGACTATTTACCTCCTAGTCAAGGTGGTTCTTGGGGCTGGTGATATAGCTCAGCGGCACAAATGCCTGCCTGATAAGTACAAGGTACTGAATTCAATTCCTGATACCACACACACACACAAAAATCAAGGTGGCTCTCTTTTCTTGAGTTTTATATCTTTCTCCTTCCTTGTATTTGATCTTATCTGTAGTTTTAGTCCAGTGTTTTTTGACTGTATGCACTGTGCATCTGTAACATGGTTTTAAATAAAATAGGAAACATGAGAATCTGGTCTCAAGGTATACAGATGACATAAACATTTATCATGGCCACTCCTCTTTCTTATTCCACTGGGTACACTAGGAAATTAATGTCTTAAAAAATTTGCGCTTGTATCATCTTGGTGGTATACATAATATTTTCCCAAACCTTTCAACCTGAGATGTTGAAAAAATTTCTAGAAAGTAGCATATGAAAAAACAGCAGAGTGTTACTCATTTAAATAATTTATTTTTCAATCAGGGACATCAGTTTGGTGATTAATACTCTGCATTCATTTTCTCCTTTAAGAAACGTGAAACAAACAGGCTTGCACGGTGTATATATAATTTATTTAGGTGTTGAAGTCTGAGCCTACATTTGTAAGAGAAAATTTCAAATGAGCTATAATTAATATGTCACATTAGGAGATGCAGTGGGCTGAGGGGGTGGAAGTAAATGGATCTACCTGATGTTCTTGCAGTGTATGTGTGGAAAGGAGAAATTAAAGTTAATGCACAAAGAAAGAGCCAGCTTTGCAAGCTTATATCTTTGAGTTCATGCCAAAGTAAATAGGTATATCTGTGGGTATCTTTGTGGAAAGTGCAGGTGGGGAATAACAGGCGGCAGCATACCTTGGAAGAGAAAAGATGGAGTGTATTAATCTGGAAGGCCAATCTTGTTTTTCTCTGTTCCACTGCCATTTACTAAGTGAAATTTAAAGAATCATCAACAACAAAACTATCTGGGATTTCTTGCTCTTAGTTTCTCTCCTGAATAAAGACAACTGACAGATGTCCTTTTTGATCTCTCTTATGAATAAGAAGTGATATATTGAGGCAGAAGTGCTGTGCCAACCTAAACGGCACTACGTTCTTACATCTGTCTTCTGTGAGACTTTGACTTCATCATCACAGTCACATGAATTTGATGTTTCAATTTAGATAAAAAGGCCCTCTGCATGTTTTTCTACCTTGATTTTTAAGTATTTCCAATAAGATTTGGTAAATTCAGGTCTTTATCAGATGTACAGAAGGAGGAAAGTCTTCTGTTCTATCAGTGTGATAACTGGTCTGCGCCACTCTAAGTAGAAAACGTCACTACTTTTTATTAAACTTCGAGTTGATTTTGGAATCATTACAGAAGGAATAAAAGGGAAAGCTTTCCTTTCTAGACTTGGCTTTTGCTCCAGAGATTTCATCTCTGTCCCAAGCTACTAGTGAATCATTAAGCCAGTAGATCACCCAAAGCAGTAGAGTTTTTTAGAAGTATTATTTCTGCCCTACCTGGCAAATGATTTCTGTCCTATCTGGCTAACTGTAGAAGTGAACTGGCAGCTTTACACACAGTGTTACAGCTTTGAGGTGAAAGAGGTTGGAGCGAAGAATTGGGAAGCTCACTCTGGTGTCCAAATCCTCACAGAGGGCTGTGCCCAGTTCAAGTGCCTTTTTAAAGAGGTACCAAGATGTCCAGTGGGCCTAAGGGCAGAAAAACGACCACGGAAGAAGTTGGCAGTTATTCTTTGAGGGATGCCTGTTGGAACTGAGGGTGTCTAATCTGAAAATGAGATGCTTTATGGCAGTCATGATGGCACAATCATAGGCTACTGTTCCAGAGGAGATAAACAAAAATCAGGAAAAAATTTACAAACAAAACAGAAGCAGAAGAGTTTGGTTCAATATAAATATTTTTTTCTGAAACTGTCAACATTAATTTATCATAGTAAGATCTATACCACTGAAATTATTTCAGTGACTATTTATATTTAATTTATTAAATATGTCAAAAAACATTGAGAAAGAAGCATTTGAACTTCAAGGTACAGAATTACAGAGTGTGTAAGGAGAATGTGGTATTTATACACAATGGAGTACTAGTCTGTCATGAAGAAAAACTTGAAGAATTAGCAGGTAAATGTATGCAATTTGAGAACATGATGTTAAGTGAAAGCTTAATGCATGGTTTCTCTTATCTGAGAAACTCAAAGTATATGTATGCAAATGAGGAGTCAAGTGGTAGATGAATGGGAAGTGGGGAGAGGTTAACATGGTTCCCCAGATTACCTATTCTGTTGTCTCAAGAATATTTTAATATATATGCTAATTTATTTATTTATACTACTAGTATCTCTTAGATCACTGAACATAAAGTACTGTGAGAATATGTTTGCTTCTTCTTTGTGAAAGAGTCATTTTTGTGTATGTATTGTACTCTGAGGAGCCAATTTTTCCTTTTACCAGTGATGACACTCAGGAACTTGTACTTGCCAGGCAGGTGCTGCACGGCTGAGCTCTATCCCTGGCCCCTGAATAACTAATTTGAAGATGAGATATAGTATACTATTGTTACTTTCTTATTGTTTTGTTATGAAATTTTGCTTTATCATTTCATAAAATAAAAAATAAGTTAAAAAAGAGTACAGATTCAAGAATCACAGGAATTGGAATTTCATACTGGTTTCCAATTGTTTACTAGTTGGAATTTTTATATCTAATTTCTTTTCATTTTCTCATAGACAAAATATAAATGACTGCAGTTCTTCCTAAATATGGTTGCTGTAGATATTAAATAAGGTAAGGGATTTAAAGCATTTAGTACAATCCTAAATAGAAAGTGATCAATAAGTAAAGAGTATCTGTTATTATTACTTCATGACTTATAACCTGAAGAATTGTGTATGATATTTGAAAATCATTGTGTGTTAGTTACTTTTTGCATTCTTGAGGCAAAATTCCCAACACTCAAAATTAAAAGGGGAAAGGTTTATTTTGCTGATAGTTTGTAGAGGTTTAAGTTCATTGTTGGCTGGATCCAAGCCAGGGTGGCATGGCAGACAGACACGGCAGAGGAGAAACATTTCATGGGAGGCAGAAGCAAAGCAAGCAATGGATGACCATAGCTCTTTCAAACTCTTTCATCTTATCCAGGGTACCTGGGGCAGGTATCATTCACACCCTTAATCCTAGTGGCCTTGATCCTAGCATTGCACCATGGATCAAACCCAGCTTTACACATTCTAAATCCAGACACCTCTGAAAAGGCCCCACCTACGACTGCATGAATCTTTGGGGGAACATCTAGATAGAAGCCATAACTTACCGCAACAGATTTTCCCTATAAAATAATGTCTTAATATAGCTAATAATTGATAATTTAGTAGTTGAAAATGTTGCAAAGTGTGACTATGTATAAATCATTAATATTTGCATGTTATTTACAGAATTGCTACTAATGTCATGCTGCATTCTGGGTTTGCGTACAAATCCACTCAGCCTTTTATTTAAAAAAGAAAAAGAGAGACAACCACAAAGAAAATGTGCCAGGAATGAGTACCTAAAAAGACTAATCTAGAAGAGTCAAATCACTTTTCTTCTATGTGGGATATTTCTGGAAAAATCAACACTTATTTTACCCAGAATTCCAAGTATTTTCTCTGTGATTAGAGGAAGGTCAATTTTATGACAGTGAATTTTCAGGAATTAATTACATCATCAGTTATTTGTTTACCATTAAACAGTCATTGATAATTTGGGGAAGAGTGTAAATTAGCACGGGCTTTTGTTATGGAGTTGTGAAGGTTTAAAATCCCATATTGTAAAAAACTACAATAAGAAGCTAGAGAAGATAGATCAAAACAAAATTATCCAGAGGAAATTTGTGTTAGTAGCTTTGGGTGTCTAATTAATTTAATGCCATTTAGCTTGCATTCATACAAACAGGTTTAATTTTTATTGGACTCTGTATTTGGTGATATAGGAGTTGTAATTTCCATGAGCTACTTGAAAACTACATTCTGCTCTATTTTTCTCTCCTTTCATAAATTTTGGTGTTACAAAATAGTTAGTCATAAAAAGGCATTTATATTTAGATATAATTTTCTTCCTTTACTTATTTTCTTTAAAAATGCAGTTTTAAAAGTAATAAAGCCTTTCCTTCTTAAATCTTCAATCTTTTTTATCCTAAGGGAAGATTAATTTGTAAATATGCTAATGGATTTGTATAATATTAAACTTTCCCGAGAAAAATTACATTACTTCATATGAATGAACACATCTATCTTATTCAATTTATAAACTAATGGTTGAGAACCCCAAAACTGTTTCCTACTATGTGTCTTATAACTAAAATGACTGCAGGCACAGCCACAAACTTGGCATTTCACAGCAAATTTATTGGATGAATTTTTTTTTTCAGTTCCTTTATTGAGTTTTCCTCATTTAGCTGTATTTGGATTGCAGCTAATAAAATGCAATTCCTCTTACCAAAAGGTGAAAAAGTAAACATGCTGCTCAAAATAGAAGCAATTTATACACAGGAAGTAGACTAAAAAGGACAAATGCTTATAGTTTAGAAGTGGTATCAGTGATAGAGATGCTGGGACGAAGATGCTCCCGCAGTACCTTCCATTTTTTTTTTTTTCCTCTGGTACCCGGAACCGAACTCACGACCTTGCACTTGCCAGGCAGGCGCTTTGCCGCTGAGCTGAATCCCCAGCCCCTAGTACCTTTCATTGAAACAGCAGGCTAGCCTTTTAGGTTAGGGGATGAGCTAAGGACTTGGTGATTCAGTAAAGGAGCTGTTATAGATTTGCTCTGATAATACAGATAAGGAACATGACCCCTTCTCAATTTTAGCTGCTTCTTTATTTCTTATTTTTCCTAGTTAGATCTTTTCCTTGCATAAATTACTTTCAGAGTAAGCTCAAAACGCCTAGTGCCCTACCAGTATCCTGAGATGATTTTCAGAGTGGTGGCTGGGTGTTGCCCTCAAGGGATACTCTGAAATCTAAGGTGGAATTTGCATTGCTTGGGTAGCTCCCTCTGAAGCAGTCCGGATACTGGCTGGACTCCTAAGGAAGGCAGACAGGAGGAGAAAGGACTCAAAAAACCCCTACCATTACTAGACCCATAAACAAACCTACACACGAACACCTTGGAATTCTAATACTTTTCCTAATAATCAGATAGTCTGTTTCATGAAGGTTTTCTACCAATAACTTGAAGGAATTCTTATTCAAGGGAAGATTACCAGCACAGGCAATCACAGTTGTTATCTTATTTCCAAATATTTCATAGAAGAGGCTTTAGGATGTTCTGCGAAGGGTGAAGAGAAGTGCGGCTTGCTCACCAGTCTCCACAAAAGTAACAGAGCAGCTTTGGAAAATCACTTCTAATAATTAAGTAATCTTAAAAATGGCCTTCTTTTTCATTATTTTTGTTGATCTTCATGGTAACTTAAGAGAGGTGATTTAATTTTTTTTTTTTTTTGCAAAAGTTAAGTGGGACCAACTGACTGTCTCAATGCATGAAATAATATGTATTAAATTTAGTAGATTGTTTCTGATAAGAATCCAGTTTAAACTGGCTTAAGCTGGGTAGTGGCTGGGAAAGAAAAAAAATGTAGGTTTGTGAATGAATAAAAGGTCCAGAAATATAGGTAGAGTCAGACTTTTATCTATCCTGGTGCTCATATTATGCCAATAGGAATTAGTCACTTTCCATTACTCAGCTCTCTGCTCCTTTATTTGGCTTTATTGTTAGTTTCTGTATGTGTCTACCAGAGAGAGTCAGGTCCTGCATGGAATTTCTCTTTTCTCTTGGTCCTAACAAATTCAAGGGCTGTCGTGCATGTCAGATCACGTACCCACCCTTGGAGCTAAAAGTGTCCGTCTTACCCAGCACACACATTCCTATGGAGGGAGAATGACCATCCTTAAGGGAGAATAGGATAACGGCTGCAATCGCAGGAAGAATGTGTGCTTTCCAGGCAGAAAGAACACATTCCCACTGCCTTTAGTAATTGATAAGGTGTGCCAGAATAAGTAGGAGAGAGAGCTCAGGTGATGCAATCACCAACAGGGATATTTTGTTACATTTGCTGCAAAGCCTGTCCTTTGTGGAGGCCAAGTCATTTCAGTTCATGTGCGTGGGTGAGTCTTGTCTAGTTGGGTCTATATGTAGTTGGACACAAGAGTATTCTTGGCTTATGAGTGTGAGGGTTTTTAACATTATCTGTAAATTTTATTTCTTCTAACTGGAATGTAAATTCTCCCAAAGTAGGCACTCTTACAGTCTTTTATGATACTTCTCTAAGAACCTAGGACAGGGCTGGACTTCAAGCACAGTCTAAGTATACACTTTCCATGGATTCTTTTCAACTGTTGGTGATGATTTTCACACTGAAGGATTTCTCAGCGATGTTTCTCAAAACCTATCCTTGCTGAGAGCTACATTTGTTTTCCATCTTTCCATATCCCTTCAAGAGTCAGAATGTGTCCTTTTAACATGCCTACAGGTTTCTGTGCTTTCTCTCACACCACCAACGCTCTGTCTGCCAGAAGCTGGGCTGTGCTGCTGTCTTTCTTCCACGCTGATGGGTTGTGCTTCACCGACTTTTGCTTCATGCTGCTTCCCTGATCCGCTTTGCATAACTGCCTGGAAGAAAGTACCTCTGTGGGTAATCCAAAAGAGGGAAATATATTGAGTGTTATTTTGCTTGGGTATTTCATGGGTTAAAGGCATCGAAAATACTATTACAGGGAAGTCCCACATAGAGCAAGCATTTCTCAAATCCTAGCAATGGTGAACTCGTTTTAGAGCAAATATGATACACCGTAATTAGAAAACAACCAAATCTTTAGGATAATTTCTGAAAAGCCTAGGATTTTAGCGGCCTGTAGGAGTTCCTGATTTGGGTTTTGGAAAGGGCCTCGCAGATAATATAGTCCAGGGGTAGAAAATAGATTCATCTTGTGTGCCAAATTTGATCAGTTGGTGGTGGCTGCCTGGAGAGCTGTGTTGAGAAAGAATTTATGGCAAAGTCCAGACGCAGCGGGGAAAAGTGCTGGGGTAGATTTTTTCATGTCTACCACAGTTAAAGAAGGGGAGAGCGTCACCATATGCAGTGTGTATTTGCCGACTCAGTGCAGTCTCCCACTTTACAAAATTAGAAAAATTAGTTCAAGATCACATTCTTAGTAACAGAGCCCAGTCTCCTTAGCTCAGTCTCTCAATATTTCCTCAAAAGTTCCTTCCAAGTAAATTGCTTGAGATGTGTCTGTAAAGTCAGAACACACTCTGATAGGTTATGTAATATCAACAACTATTAGGAAAATAGAACATATAACTAAACCATGCATTCCCTTCTTCATCCAGAAATCACTAAATATTTATTGAGCACACACTACACGCTAGGTAGACGAGGTACTTGGTACCACTGGACAACACGCTCCTCAATTGTTGATCATTTTTATACCAGAATAAAAGAGCTGGATTGTTGCACAGTTTATCTCTACCATGTTATTTTGCTTTCTTTCACTATTAGTTTGGTTTCTTCTTTGATCTACTGTCCATAAAGTCTACTGTCCATAAAGAGAGGAGGGTTACACACACAGGCATTTAACTAACGTCATCCTTTATAAATTTTCTATTTCTTAAACAAGTACTGCTCTTTGGACTCTCATGAAAATGGAAGTATAATCAAATGAATCAGCAGCACATTATGGACCTGGTTTTTAATAACAGGTGTCTAACGTGTGCATGTGACATGCAAAATATGCTGATACAAATGGATGA